GCGTGGGGGTGGGGGTGGGGGTGGGTGTGGGTGTGGGTGTGGGTGGGGTGCGTGCGGGTGTGGGTGTGGGCGCGGGCCGCGTGCGCGTGCGCGTGCGCGTGCGCGTGCGCGTGCGCGTGCGCGGGCGCGTGCGCGTGTGCGTGTGCGTGTGCGTGTGCGTGTGCGTGTGCGTGTGCGTGTGCGTGTGCGTGTGCGTGTGCGTGTGCGTGTGCGTGCGCGTGGGCGTGGGCGTGAACGTGGGCGTGGGCGTGGGGGTGGGGGTGGGTGTGGGTGTGGGTGTGGGTGTGGGTGTGGGTGCGTGCGGGTGTGGGTGTGGGCGGGGCGCGTGCGCGTGCGCGTGCGCGTGCGCGTGCGCGGGCGCGGGCGCGTGCGCGTGTGCGTGCGTGCGTGTGCGTGTGCGTGTGCGTGTGCGTGTGGCGTGTGCGTGTGCGTGTGCGTGTGCGTGCGCGTGCGCGTGCGCGTGCGCGTGTGCGTGTGCGTGTGCGCGTGCGTGTGCGGTGGGGGTGGGGGTGTGGTGTGGGTGTGGGTGTGTGTGTCTGTGTGTGTCTGTGTGTGTCTGTGTGTGTCTGTGTGTGTCTGTGTGTGTCTGTGTGTGTCTGTGTGTGTCTGTGTGTGTCTGTGTGTGTCTGTGTGTGTTGGTGTGTTGGTGTGTTGGTGTGTTCGTGTGGGTGTGTGTGTGTGGGTGCGTGCGTGCGTGTGGGTCTGTGTGTGTGCGCGTGTGTGTGTGTGTGTGTGTGTGCGCGTGTGTGTGTGTGTGCCCGTGCGTGCGTGTGTGTGTGTGCGCATGTGTGTGTATCATGAGTGAGGTAAACATCCCCCCGTACCACTTTGGGGGAAACAATCATCCCGCGCGCGCACGCCGCATACAACCTAATCTTCCCTGCCACTACCCCCCCCTTACGTGCTGGCGACAATTTGATGACGTTCCACTAAACCCGGTGTCGCAAAACAGGGGTCCCAGGCTCGATTCCCCCTGCCGGCTCTTTTGCTGGCTTGGGCGTCCTGCCTCCTTTTTGCCGAAAATCTGGAAAAACTCTGTGTTTTTGGACGTCCTCTTTGCGAAAACGCTGGAAATACATACATTGCATTGCACACATACCTACATACATACAGACAGACAGACAGACACACACAAACATACATACGTACGTACGTACATACATGCATACATACACACGTACATTCATCACATACATACATCACATACATCACATACATCACATACATCACATACATCACATGCACACATCACATACATCACATACATACATACATACATACATACATACATACATACATACATACATACATACATACATACATACATACATACATACATACATACACATACATACATACATACATACATACATACATACATACATACATACATACATACATACATACATACATACATACATACATACATACATACATACATACATACATACATACATACATACATACATACATACATATACATACATACATACATACATACATACATACATACATACATACATACATACATACATACATACATACATACATACATACATACATACACATACATACATACATACATACATACATACATACATACATACATACATACATACATACATACATACATACATACATACATACATACATTACATACATACATACATACATACATACACACATGCATACATTGTTACATACATACATACATACATACATACATACATCAAATACATACATCACATACATCACATCACATCACATCACATCACATCACATCACATCACATCACATCACATCACATCACATACATACATACATCAAATACATACATCACATACATCACACACATCAAATACATACATACATACCTACATACATGCAACATACATACATACATACATACATACATACTTACATTGCATACACACACATACATACATACATACGTACATACATACATACATACATACATACATACGTACGTACGTACATACATACATTGCATTCACACATTGCACACATACACACATACATACATACATACATACAGACAGACAGACATACATACATCGCATACATCACATACATCACATACATCACATACATACCTACATACGTGCAACATACATACATACTTACATACATTACATTACATTACATTGCATTGCATTACATTACATTGCATTACATTACATTACATTACATTACATACACACACATACATACAGACAGACAGACAGACAGACAGACAGACAACAGACATACATACATGGACAATGAAGCGGACATACCGAGAAAATGACAGGGACATGAAGAGGGACTTGAAAGGGATGGAAGGGACATGACCAGGACATCATGGGAAACGTGAAAAGGACATGAAGCGGAAATCAAGGGGAAAGCCAGTCGTGAGATGAGAGTTCAGGGTTGTGAAGGGGCAGTGCCGGGACATCGAGGCAACTCAGTGGGGACGTGACGCTGCAATGCAGAGAGAGAGAGAGAGACAAAAAGAGGGAGAGAGAGAGAGAGAGAGAGAGAGACTAGGTCGGGATGGGGAGGATCGGGAGCGGAGGGAGGGAGAGAGGACAACAGAACACACAAGGGAGACAAGGGAGAGATGAAGAAGGAGAAAGGGGAGAGGACAATGTCGGCGGAGTGAGCCGGAGGCTCTAAAGTTAATATTTTTGCGCAAGCCCCGTGTTTTTCAGGACTGTGGAAAAATAGAAACTCTGCTACGGCTCATGGCCCGCAAAACTCAAATTGTGCTTGCAAGTGCTACATAGAGGATTGCCAGTACTAAATGTACAATTGCCAGTACTACATCTAGTATTGCCAGTACTAAATCTAGGATTGCCAGGTTTGTATTGCCAGTGCTATATTTTAATCAATTCCGTGTCCGCTGCTGAATATAATGTTGCAGTCCTGAACGTAGTAGCGCCGCAACTTAATTTAGTATTCGTGCGAAAACGGAATCGGCCCTCTGCAGGTTTTGGCGGCCTCGCGGAAAGATAGAAACTCTCGGGTCAAAAGTTTCTATCTTTGCGCAAGCCCTGTGTTCTTCAGGCCTTGCGAAAAGATAGAAACTTTTGCTACAGCTCATGGCCCGGAAAACACATATTCTTGGCTTGCCTGCAGCACATCTAGTATTGCAGCACCTAATCCAATTTAGGCAGTGCTGATTTTGGTATTGCCAGGACCAAATCAAGCATTGCCAGTGCTTGTTTTGTTAGCGAGGGTTTGAATCGTTGAAGTTCCTTACTGAAAAATCCATTCTGCAATGATTTTGGTTCCAGACAGGGGGCAGCTCTGCGAGTCCGCCGTCACCCCTCTGCACATGTCTGGGCCCCGCGCAAGAGTGCAACAGTTTCGGACAGAGCTTCGTTTGCAGTTCCAGGGAAGGATCCAAAAAGTTTCTATCTTTGTGCTTGCTACACCTCATGGCCTGGAAAAAACAAATTATTTACGGAAATTAGTATTGCCAATGCAAAAGATCATATTGCCAATGCTTCATTGGGTGTCCCCAGTACTATCTTTAATGTTGCCAGTACTACATCTAGCACTGCCAGTCCTTGGTTTTGTGTCTCCAGTACTAAATTTAGTCTTGCCAATACTAAATTTAGTTGCCAGTCAATTTAGCGTTGCCAGTAATAAGTTTAGTATTGCCAGTACTAAGTTTGAAATCGCCGCAACTTGATGTAGTACTCGTGCAAAAACGGAATCAACCCTCTGCAGGTTTTGGCGGCCCCGCGGAAAGATAGAAACCCTCCGGCGGCGGAAGGTCTGGAAAATGATTTTTCCTCCGAAAAGCAAAGCCTGACTTACGGGCCAGCAAACTTCCAAACCTTCCGCGACGGGAGAGTTTCTAGTTTCGTGCCATATCTGGAAGAAAGTGTCTATCTTTTCGAGGGTTGTTGTAATGTGGAAGTGCGGCAGTGGAAGTGTGGAAGTGTGGACGTGGGAGCGTTGAAGTGAGGAAGTGTGGAAGTGAGGAAGTGTGGTTTCCCAACCAAAAGGAAAAATCACCACCGGTTTCTCCAAAAGTGAGACAAGGCGCCGCTAGGGCGTGTCCCCCCGCGTGAACCGGCGCGAGCCGGTGCGAGCCGGTGCGAACCGGTGCGCGTCGAATTTCGGACGCGTCTACCGCCGCAATGTTAACACGCGCATACAATTTCGGACGTCGGCCCGGCACTGAGGCAACTTCATGCCTCGCAAGGTGAGAGCCATAAAGCGGGTCATTCCTTTGCTGTCAGCAAGGGTTGACCAACGGAACACAAATAGATTGGCTCATTGGGGGCTGAGTTCATCGACCCGGCTGACGGCTCCTTGAGATCAGCCAAAGATCTAGCCCTTTCTGAGCGCCTCTCCTGCCAATTGGGGCATTCTCGTTTTTGTTGGGGACTCGTCTTGGCTCCAGTCAAGTCCCCAAGCATGACACTTTGACATTCTGCGATTCCTGAAGCAGCACTCCAGGGCAGCGCAAGAACGACAAAGAAAACCCGCGCACGCACAAAAGTAAGCAAGAAAGCAAGCAGGCAAGCAGGCAAGCAAGCAAGCAATCAAGCAAGTAAGCACGCAGGCAGACAAGCAGACAAGCAGGCAAGCAGACAAGCAAACAAGGACAAGCAAAGAGCAAACAGAAAAATTAAAGCAAACCAAACCAAACCAAGCCAACCAACCACCCCACCAAAACAAAGCGAAGCAAATCAAACGACCCAAAGCGACACAGGCAAACATGCATGCGTGCAAAAGGACAAGCACCAACACACGAGCCCACAAACACACAAAACACACATACAAACAAGCAGGCAGGCAATCGGGGAAAGCAAGCAAACAAGCAAGCGGACAACCGTTGAACAAATATGACGAACAACTAGAGTACGTAGGCAAACAAGCAAGCAAGGAACTACGCAAGAAAGCAACAAGGAAGCGCACAAGGAAGCAAGCAAGCAACACGCCAAACAAATTGAGAAAGCAAGCAGCGCGCCCGACGGACGCGCCTTGCCCTTCAGCTTAGAAGCTTTGCTTCTCCAGCGCTGTTCACCTAGGCAAGAGTGGCTTGGAAAAACTTGAGAGGGCAATTCAGGAGGTCTCTCTTTGCGCCGCACAATCTGCGCATGACTATTTTCTTTGCCACTTGGATCGTCGCTGCGACGGCCACTTTAGCACGTCCCACCCCCGCCCGGCGCACACACACACACGCCCTATCCATTTCTGCAAACCCTTGCAAGAAATCGATCACACACCCCCGAGCTCCAAGAAAAGCATCACTAAAGAGAAGGCAGGGCTTCCTCTGCGGCAACTAAAAAGGGGACCCGAATTTTACATAGCTATCCCCGCCTTTGCAAAGGTTCTATGAAGCTCCGTGTGCAAACTGTTTGAGGTCTCTACGTTTGACAGCCTGCTCCAGCTCCATGTGCAGCCTGGCAAAACCGAGTGAAACCAAAAACACGCTGACTCAGGGATAGCTTCCTTCTCCTTTCCGTTCCCTGTGACACCATGTTCGGGGCTACGGGCCTTCTTCTCTTGGTCAAGCGAGCGGGGGGCAGGGGCCGGGGGGGGGGGAGAGTTGGCTCCGGTATGAAGAACTGGTTCGTGACAGGACAACTTCCACCACAGTTGAGAAGAGCAGACTTATTGCAAAAGCTTTTGCGCGTGCTGCAGGCTCTAGCTGGCTGCAGCCAGAGAGCTGCTGAAGCCTGTCAATCCCTTAAGATGCTTTTCAGACTGCCGTGTGCAAGAGAACGTCGCCTGTCAGTCGACTGTCAATGTTCCTGTTTGCGCAAAGGTTCTTTGATGTATGGGTTTTACAAGCGCGTTGAAGCCCCATGCGCGAAACGCCCATGGGCGCAGTGTTTTTTAGCCTCCGGTGCGACGCTGATCGTGCCCCCTTCCATGTTTCTAAAACAACAAATTAGGCAGACTATACGAGGGCCATTTATTGAAACTGATGCCACCCGGCACGGCCATAATCCAAACGCAGTGGCATTTAACAAAACACCCTGAAAGCGAGCGCATGGGGGCGCGGGGCCTGCGTTTTTGGAGTCATGTAATTACACTTGCTTGAAATCTTAAGCCCCCACTTCTAAGCTCAATGTTGACACTTAACCTTTTACGTTGCCGCTACACAACTCAGCAACAATGCTCAATCTTACTTTCCCTCTACTAAACTCAGCGTTGCCAATACTAAAGTTAGTGTTGTCAGTACTTAATGCTAGACCCTCACAACTAAAAACAGTATTGCAAATACTAAATTCAATATTGTTGCTTATTCTAAGGCTCTCACTACAAAACTCAGCAAGGCAAATTCTACATTGGCCCCCACAGCGAAACTCAACTGATGCCAATACAATAATATTGTCCATGCTTAATCTCAGGCCCCCACCACTGAACTCAATATTGCAAATACCAAATGCAACATTGCCAATACCGGTGGCTGCGAATATCGCAAAGTTCTCAGAGAAAATTTCCAAACAACTGCAGACCCTAAGCTCGAGTTCTCAAAAAAAAGAACTTGCAGACTCCACAGCTCTCAACAAACCACGCTTGGGGACATAGGCTCTGCAGTGTCGTTTTTGCTTTTTCTTTGAGTAGAGGTTTTGGGAATCTTTCATTGCAGGGAAATAGAAAACGCAGAAAACCGTGCCCCAAACAGTTGAACAGCAACACAGGACAACAGCGGCCATCTCCAGGCGTGGCACACGCAACCTGCCCCTGTTGCTGGCCCGCCAAGCAAGCAAGGTCTGCCCGACTCCCTCATTTTTCCCTGCGCAGGGCTGCAAAGCAGGAAAGCTGCCAACACAGGACACCGTTATAATCACAGTGTCGAGAGACAAGCGGGAGACATGAGCGGCGTGTGACCGGAAAAACTGGGAGGCATACGAGGAGATGAGCAGGAGCATCTGGCATCTGGAGACAAGTGGAAAACACCACCCCGGAACATTTTCCCATTCTTTCAGCCTCAGCCCCAACGCTTGGCTATTTAGCGGAATGAGAACAATCTTTTGGATGACGCTTCTTTTCCCACTTCTCACTATCCTGAGAAGGTGTGTGTGGCCAGCGCTGGGAAAAACCGTGAGCTCAAGCGCTGCAGGGCGCAGGGCAGAGCACGCTACGCGCACAACTGACGACTAACTACACAACACGCGCCTGGCGCGCAAGCGCGCCCCCAACCTGCAAGCGCAATCCACCCCGAGCGCCGCGCCTGCTAAGTCGAAAAGCCGCACAAGCTTTGCCACAAGTAGCAGCGGAACCAGCAAGCAGAACAAGGCAAGGACCCAACCAGGCTAGAGGCCAAACTGCGCACGCTTGCGTGGGCAAGCTTTAACTGCACGCGCAAGTTGCTGGAAAGCGCAAGCCTAGCCGTGGGTGCGGGCTGCGCACGCCCAGCTGACAAGCGTGCACCGCGGCCGCATGCTGCGTGTGAGCGCTGCCGACATAGGCCGTGGCCAGTAACATGGCAAGAGGAGTACGGGAAACGGCCGGGCTACAACAACCACGGATGGTTGGAAGGTAGGGAGACAAGCCAGAGACACAAACCGGAGCTGGAGACACACGATCTGGCATCTGACCGGAGAGACTCGGAGACAGGAAGAAAAGTGGAAAAAGGACCCCGCAGCCAGCGTCACAATTTCCTACTCTTTACACCTCAAGATAGAACCCCATTCGGGAAAAAACAAAAACACCAGACCCCATGGCTCTGAGCAGACCATGCTTGGGGAGATGGGTCTGCAGTTGTGTTTTTCATGGTTGAAAACTCGAGCTGTTTTGCATTGTTCAAGACAGGGCACATAGTTTGCAGCTTGTTCTTGTTTTGGAACACTCGAGGTGTTTGTTTGTCCATTGCAGGGGATTGCGGCAGATGATGAATGCTTGCCTTGTTGGAACCAGATGGGATGCCTGGGTTTGCCAGTCTTAGTGCGCCTGCAAAGAAGCAGGCCCCATGCCCCTTCTCTTCCATATGGATAGCTGTCTGTTACCTGAACGATCGGCCCCCCCAGCCTCTCAACAAGGTCCTTGAGAGCACGGTTCTCTTGGTAGAGCTCCCAGGTCTCCGGGCCCTGACCATCGGCTTTTCTGGACGTATGGGAAAGTTGCAAATCGAGCCAATGGTGGGTCAACCGACCCGGTTCGCTGTTCCTGTTTGAGACACTTGGAAGGTCCTGAGAAAAACGCACCACCCGAGTGCGAACAAGCCAACCCCTGCACCCACCTAAGCCAAAATCAATCCTGCATCAACCCTAAACCAGCCCGTACAATCCGCCGACGCCAGTCGAGCGCGGGTGTCCGTCTAGGTCTGCGGAGTGGGGGTGCTTACAGTCGTAAGAATCTGCATTCCCAGCATTATCTGGGCTGTCTTGGCGGCACGACTTTGTTATTCTTGCTGATGTCAATGGTTGTTTTTTCTGTTTGGAGCGATGTTCGATTTGGCATGTTTGGGGTCTTGATGGGGGCAGTGTAGCGACAACCTAAGGAACTGCTATCATTGGAACAAATGTGTTTTTGCAAGTCCCCATCAGTATAGGTGCATCGCTGCGAACCATCCCCACCATGATTGTGCTTTTAGAAGTCTACGTCGTTTTCATCATTGTACTTGATGGTTGGTTCTGGGAAAAATCGACAAACACAGGTTTCTTGCACACTGCATCCCAGCATTTCCTGCCTACTTGGCCAATTATTTGCGTCCGAAGTTCATGCCGTTTTGGGCTTGCAGTCTGGCTGCATCCTCCGCATTCTCAGCACATGGGAGGGATAGGCACGGTCGCACCACAAATGGCGTTAGCAGATTGCGTCGCAATTTCAATGCAATGAGCCCCCACAAACCAACCCCCCACCCTAAACCTCTCCACTGTTTTGTAAAAGATAAATGCCGATTATCATACCCAGCCCGGCAGGTTTGTCTGGGCATGTCTCGGAGGGTTTACTTCAGGTATTCTTCGAGGGTTGGGCGACTTGCACACAAACCTTTGCGCGGGCAAAAAACACCATCGCAGGTCACGTGTCCTGATTTCAATCAAATATGTCAAAGGATCATGGGAGACCATACCCATCTAAGGCCATGCAATCTGACTGACACAGGTGTGAAAAGCGTGTGCCACAAACGCTACACTCACACGTTATAGGCATACAAAGCGAATATCATAATGCGATATACTATCAAACCAATCTATTAACCGAACACCGACGCGCTGCACCAGGCTCGCTGCCTCCTTCGTCTCTCGCATTCCCTTCAACCAAAGACATCCTTAAGAACTGATCAACAAACTGATCAAGTCGTCCCTAACGTAGGCAGAAACTAATCAGCGGAAACCCATCGGCATTGCGCCACTCAGGCCAGTGAGGCGCAAACCGCATGATACATCAATGTTTCTTTGAGAGCCCCAAACTTGGCTGATAGCACCAACATGCTTCGGCCTGTAAGATTTGAAGGTTTGCTTCGGCCTTTGCCATACTAAAAAAACAGGCGACGCCCTCCGCTTGGCAGCTTCGCCCAGCCTCCCGGGTGGATTCTGAGTACCGACCTTCGCAAAAAAAGAGTCCTGATGCCAAGAGAGGGATCCGGAATATCCTTCCAAATAATTTGCTTTTGAGACACCTGCCATTTTCTGAAAGTCTTTAGGGAGTTGAGGTGAACATTTATTGAGGATCGCCAAGTCTATCCCGCAAGATTGTCAGCTCAGAGAATCTGCCACGCTGAGATGTCAGGCTATGCCCCACTCAGGGAAACCGTTCGAAACAGGAGGCAGTGTGGTTTTCAGAGCAAATGCAGTCAGATTAAGATACAAGCTGTGGCCAGACTGCTCTGGTAACATTCTCCGCCCGAAAGCTTAACATGGGCCAACCCCCTTTCGTTTAAACTTCAAGCCAGCAGTGTTTAAGCATCTAGGTCCTTAGGTGCCCAGTTGAAACGCATTTGGCCCCCCATTTCCCATACCCTCTGCGGGCCGACTTCCTGTTCGGATGAAAGAACAACCGCGGGCTTGCACAACAAAAAGAGCCCGTCAAAGGAAACCTGAGGCCTGAACCCAACCCCCCCCCCCTCCCAATTTCAAAGTAATTTGAGAGCAACGTCTCTGTCACTGGGGCCGGGACCAAGACTTCCAGGGCCTCGCACGTACCACAAAGGGGGCCCCATTTCGGCGAGCGATCTGCCCTCATCCTCTGACTCGTCTTGCTCTTCACCGCCACCCTTCAATGATGCCAAAAGCTTGAGGATAAAACATCAGAACACTTGTTCGCCTGGGCTCAAAAAAACGCTTCCGCACGCCTAGTTCCCTCCGGCCCTATCGCAATTTGGTTGCACCAAATAAACTCGAGCTTGCCCAAATGGGGCAAGCAGGTAGACTGCAGCAGAAAGTTGTGTTTTCTTGGGGCCGTGGATTTTATACATTGCGAGGGGCATGCTGATGCTCTAAATAACAAGTCGCAATGCGGTAACTAATTTATAACTCTGTTTCGCCGCTCTTCGCAAGGACCCCGGCAACGGAGGCAATCAGGAAGGGAGAAGCGCCCATGCGACAAGGGTGCACACCCAATGCGTGTCCAGGATAGTACACCCAATGTTCTTTCTCAATCTTGGGTGTACACTGCATTGCGACGGCGCCTGTGTCAGGCGCTGGCATGGGCGGAACCGATGGCATCGGGGCCATTGCCTGAGCGCCAAAGTTTCAAGCGGCGTTGGTCTCGAGCGAAGGCCTAACATGCTTAACCAAGCGGCGAAACAAAGACCCGCTTCCAAAATTGAAAAGGTTTAAGTTCTAAGCGTCGAAACAAAGAGCAAAGACCCGCACAAAAAAAACGTTGAGCAAACCACGGCTCGAATTCCTGTGGAGGCGCTTCGACAGGACACACGCACATCACCGTTTGGGTCTGTGGCAACTTATCGAGTATTGGGCGTTTGTCTGATTGACTCTGCCCGTCTCGTCAAAAGGCGGGCGGCCATCTCGCGTCGTAGCTTTCCCTTGGTTGGTGAGCACGCGTTTGTTTCACGCAGTGAACACCTTTGAAAAATCAAATTTTCGAAGCGCATGGGCACTTTCGTGCAGGACATTGGGACCCGCCGCCTCTCTGAGCCGACCGTTGGCATTTGCTTGGAAATTTCGGCAGAGGCGGGCTAAAGCTGAACGAACATACGCACAAACGCACACACGCCTTCCCCAACGAGTCGAGATTCAATTTAGGATTGTTTGCTTTATTGTGCGGGCGTTTTTGCTTTTTCGGCAACATGCCGCATGTGACGGCATTGCCTCTCTCATGAGATGTACGCGTTTCACAACATCACCGGCAGGTCGTGGGTAGCGGGGCCGGGGGGGGGGGGGGGTGCGTCTGCTAGCAGGGGATCTCAATCCTGCTGCGGTAGGACTCAAATGGAAAGTCAGGCTCAATATGTATCTCAGATGGGCTGGTGAGAATTGACGTCCCTGCTTATTACAATGACCTGTCTTGATACCGTAACGCACTGCCGCAAGGTCGCCTCACTGTAAGCACATGGCTCTAGTTGTGCAAATAGCAGAGAAGGGCCTTGAGCCAAAACGGTAGGTTGCATGGGGTCAACAGTGTCAAAAGCAAACACGAAACAGACACACCTTCAGCATCGAACTATTGCGTCGTAGCATGTTCCACACGTGCTCAGATCGTTGAAGTTTGATTGGTTTCGAAGCGTGCTAAAATAGTCACTGCTCTTTTGTGACGCGGGCTTGTTGATTCGTCATGTGTTTACAACTGTTTGTGCAACTGTTTGTGCAACTGTTTGGCAAACTTGGGGCTTCACGCAACTGCGGCACCTAGTTGTACCTGACATGGTTGCATTTTTGAGGATGCGACGCATGACTTGAAAAGAAGGACGGGCTCTCCTCTGTGAAACTACCGACTCCTCACTTCAGGAGAATTTTCTTGTAGGCGACGCGGAAAATATCGCAATCATAGTTGTCTTGTAGACGATGAGGCCATGAGAACTGATCTGTGAGGATGCCGGTTGGTCGTTGATGTCGTTGCGCGTGCCAGAATTGCGAATTTGATTGGCAACTAACGCCATTTCTTCTGGTATCCCTTGCGGCTGCTTTCGGGCACCGTGTATCTCCCCAGGAGGAACTGTAGTTGTTTCCTCTGGGAATTCTGCTGCATCCTTTTTTTGCTTGACTTCGGATAAGCTTCGGATGTAAACCATCAAGGGTGCGTGCCAGTTCGAATCGCATTGTCCTTTCATGAGCCTCTCATTTGTGACATGCTTGAAGCGCTCCGCAGAGGGTACCTGCTAGTCGGCAACGACGAACCCACAGTCATTCTCGAACTGAACTTTGTCTTCCTCGGACATGCTGCGTGATTCTGCCATGCGGTAGTCTTGCTGATCCTTCGTCTTTCCCCAGTCGAAAACGAATGTCACCATGCTATCAGGAAAGGTCCCGTCAAAGTCCGACCCTCTCTTGGTGTGGAACATGCTGGATGAGTGCTGGACGTTTGCTCATAACCTCGAAATCGTTCCATGTGCCCTGCATGGCCTGCGCCGCAATGTTGAACAATCCAAGTTCCGATTTGTTCCCGCCTCCAGCAATTGCATGGCACCAACATTCCATGATGAATGGAAGCACATGCTTCCGCAAGTCTTCCTCAGCGGCTCCATAGCTCAAGGGTGGATGGACATGGAACACTCCGCCCGTTGCAACTGGCAATCCAGCTTGGAGGACGTGGCGCTCATGAAACTTGTCCATGACACACCCCCAAGATTTCTTGATCTCGCCCTTGAACTCAGTGGTCTTTTCGAGCGTGCTTGTGACAATCTCACGGTTCGGCCCACAGGACCTGACAGTGGTGGGGTTCAACACGCACTGAATCTTGTTCCCAATATCTCTCACATGTGTGAAGGATCTCAGGGCTACGCCTTTGTATCCTGCATGGATGAAGGTTCTGAGAAGGCCCTTGTTTGTTCGCATCGGCTTCATTGGTACACAGGGTCAGGATATCCCAGCAAGCTCCCCTGTGAAAGCAAGAAGATCGACAAGCACACTTCGGGGGAGAAGATCTGAAGACTTTTGGGTCCTTGGGACCATCAAGCCGATCCACGCACAAAGCTTGGAGAATACACACACCTCATCCTCAATGCTAAATGTGCTCGCGGCGAATCTTGAATCGCTGACAAAGAGCCCCGTGTTGCAGGGAAGAGAGATCAAGAACGAATGAAAGGCGAATGGTCCAAAAAGGGGACTACAGAACACATATCCTGGCTGCTGCGCCTTGAACACTTCCAGCGGTATCCGTGTGTCTCCCGGATAGTTCGTCCTTGGATTGACATGTGCCAGGGCATCAACCGTGCACGCGACGGGGTCATGTCTGGGATCCAGAAACTTCTTGAACTCGTTCTTGGTCTCTTTAAACTGCTTCTTGCCGGCCACCTCGGTGAGTGACGAACTAGATACTTTTCTGGATGAGTCATAGAATTCCACGATCACAATCGTCTTTGTCTCGACTGGTTGGTCATGAAAGGTCACGGACACTGCTGAATCGAAAAGCTGATCAGAATGCTCAAGTTCGGCTAATTGTCTTTTCCTCGTTTCTGTGGTTGGTTTGCTCGCAATGTAGTTGAAGAAGTCCTCTTTGAACTTGTTGATCTTTGCGGCGCCTCGCTCAGCATCTTCTCTTGTCAATATTCTCTTCATGATGGTTGTGGGCGCGTCGCTTGTCGGATGTGGAGGCAGCAATGATTGTCTCATCCGTGAGCGCCGCCCTTTCTCCGGCGATCTTTATGTTAAAGCTCTTGCCTTTCGTGAAGGCCATGATGGTCGTTGCAATTCTCCCTGTCGGAATGCTCAGAAGTGCGGACGCGGATGGTTCGTCATTGGTTCTGACGTCATCCACTCTTGCCATGCGAACGCGCTGGCAGCGCCATGGAGCGCCACCCCGAGCCAAGGATCCGACACAGCTCGTCGTCGCTGGTCGCATGGATCAGGTTCTCCTTCTTGACGGGTTCCACTTTGCGATCTTTCCCATTCAAGTCAGGAGCTGGTCGTCGAAATCTGGATTTTGGGCTTGGGCTGAGAAGCCCCAGTGTACTCCTTCCATGGCTGTACCCTTTCTTTTCTCTTCTGCCATGGTCTTCCTGACGGCACTTCTTGTCCTGTCTGGAATGCCCTGCAATACCTTGGATGTATACCTCCATCTCGCTGTCATATTTGTATGCGTGATTATTGGGCCGCAGGGCCGAATTCGATGGCCCAAGCGGCAATGAGCTGATCCAACGCTGAGCAGGTACCACTCTGCCTTCTTGACATCGCTTTGCGTAGCCTCCATCAACGGACAGGAACATGAACGCGACCTCGAATCTTGTCTTTTCACGTTTTGGAAGTATGAGCATGAGGAACAGAGTCGGCTTGTTGCCCAGGAAGATGGATGAGTGCGAGATCGTGTTGATGAGCTGGTAGAGCTCGCAGGATCCTTCTCGGTCAACTGGAGCTTCTGGAGCTCCATCAGCTTGGCCGTCTCGTGTGCGGCGACGGGCTGCTAAGAACAATTCGCTCAAACGTTCCACCCTTCAAAAGATCAAATCCGTGATCGGTTTTGCACGTTTTTCATCGATGCCAAGATGGTTGCACATGGGTGCGACACTGGTGATAGTGTTTTCATGTGTGGCTATGCCCACGCCAAGCCCTTCTTGGTAACCACCGGTTTTGCAGCACATGCTGTAGATCCGATGGATGTGTCTCTTGCCTTCAGGAAAAGATTGTTCGGGAATGCGCGCAAAACCCGGGTCGAGACCTGATAGACGTCCTTGCACTGGAAGTAGAGGAAGTCCGGACAAATTTTTCTGACACGAAGAGAAGGCAGTTCTTCTTTGATGGGCTTTGATGCTAGCCTGCGCTGCAATGGCGGCTTGTCTTCACCCTGACGAGGATCTATCTCTTCTCTTTTCTCGAGGCGCAACGCGCAGCGTGATTTCCAATTTTCGGTTCCTCGGTCTGCGCCTCTTCTTCCTGAGTATCAAATAAACCGGACTGTCCTCCCCAGGCTTGTCAACTTCCATGGAACTGGCTTGTCATCGAGGATCTTGGTTTCCATTGGCAGGTCCTGGTCACCCTCTGGCTGAGGCGCGGACTGACAGGAGACGCTCGCCTTGGGCGCTGTCTTCTGATTTTGAGTGAGCATATTGATGAGCAGATACGCGTCAACATTCAGGAGGTGGCCGGTCAAAACTGCCTTGATTAACTTGTCTGCTTTGGCTGAATGCTTTGTCAAGGAATCTAAGAGGCAACTTTCACTTCGCGCGCTAGGTCGCGCGTCTGTCCGCTATTGCTTTCTATTGCGTTCAAGGGCGGCGTTTCCTGCTGTTCTGGTTGGTGGGTTGTCGAGGCGGTTGTTACCAGGTTGTTTGCGTCGATTCTAATGTGTACGTCCGCAATTTCACCTGCGATGTCTGACCAAGACTACGAATACAAAGTGATGAAACGCAACAACGCATGCGTCCGCGCAATTCAGCAACAGTCGTGGACATCGTCGTCGCGGTGATCTTGTGGGTCTCATTATCGGTGCAAGAAAATGACATGCGCTCGATGGGATGACTTGTCCTCATGTTGCGATAAGAAGCATCAGAGTATCCAATGATTCTTGATTTCCTTCGAAGTGGCCAGAATCTCACACTGAATGGAACGCTCTTCGTGCGCGC